CCACCTGAAAGGTGGGCACCGACGGAAGGAAGGAATACCAAGCAGCCAAAGACGGCATGCACCGAATTGTGTGCCAGTCGGTGCTTCGCACAGCGGCTCTGCACTGCAGACACAAGCCAGGAACGCCACCTCGCTGATGACGCGCCACTCTCAAACCAAGTTTGCAGCCTAAGTTTTCATCAAGCTCTGGACTTGCCTCCACAACTCTACATGCAAAGCCCGAAGCTCCGAACCCTACACCCGAAGGACCCCTGCGAGTCGTGTGCCTTTCTTCGTGCGGCACATTTCATCCAGTTGCAACTCCCTCCCAAGTCCAGGGACCCCACAACCCACGAAGTCTGCCCTGGTGGGTTCCTCTCAGGGAAGATGGGACCCCGCAGGCCCTTCGACGTGGTAGAGCCGGACGGCTTGCCCTTGCATGTCGCTCCGGGGTTCGAAATTCCAAGAATGCTTACAGGGTGATGCCCTAGGTAGGGTTCTAAACCCAACGAACCCCAAACCAAAATTCCCTCAAATCCCATCGACCTTTAGCCCCATATTAGGCATCACTATCTGCGGCTGAAGACTGGTGGGGCTGACGCTTGAAGTTCAGCCTAAGGGGTTCTGGGGTAGATGACAGGAGGACACTGTAACCATATTCGTACTACCTGGAGCCTAGCTAGGTTGAGGCAGCAGGCAATTGCACGACTCTACCACCCAGGCAGCTTAAGGACAACAGCTGCGGCCTCACATATCGATGTGCTCGCTTTGAGTCACCGGAAGACAAATGCTACTCTGCCAAGCGCGCCAGTCCGATCCAGTCTAAGCACTATCGAATCCTGAACCAACTGCCACACGACATAAATGCGAAGGTGGAGCTGTTAAGATCGAGGGCTACAACTACAAAAAGCTGATTGGCGTGAAAGGCATGCAGCTTGTGACTGTGAGCGCCAGTACGATTCGAAAATACATACCTCCGATGGGCTTCTCAAGCTCTGCCCATCCCAAAGAACGGATCCAAGTTTCTGAACTCTAGGATCACACTTTGGCCGTGATCATTAGAGCCAGAAAATTACAGGGCTCACATTCTATAGCAGTCCATTCCGTACTTTACTTAACATCCAAGGTGTAGGCTTACGGGTGTGTTTAAGCAAAGCCGCACCTCTTGATCATGGCTTACACCCTGAAAAAAATCTAAAATCTAGACCTCGAAAGCTGACGCCACAAACTCCTACCCCAAGGCCCTGTCAATCGGAAGCCTCAGAGCCCTTCGGTCACATGCAACCTTATCAGGTTCACACCTGCTTTGCATTGACCTAGTTGCCCAGCCGAGTGCCACAGGGATGCTTCCGTTTGCAGGCTCGGTGGCCTTGGGATTGCTCTGGTCACAGACAGCGCGTCTTACCAGACGCAACTTAATAGTCTTAGCACGCCTTTGGGTAACATAAAGTACTAAACATGCAAGTGAACGCAATGTATTGAAATCTGTACTCATGAGTGCATGTCTGTTTGCATACACGTAAGCGTTTATACATGGTGCGGCATATAATAACTACACAGAACCGGTTGCAGTCCTCATTAATGTCTTATTCATGCAGTGTTTTGTCTCCGTACTGGTTGTGCATACATAAGCGTAGGCTGCCTGTCTGCGTTGTTCGTGGAACCAGATGAGGTGTCGATGCTACTGTAGGTTCTATTGAACGGAGGCCCTGTTGTGGCAAGCAAGGGAGGCATAGCAGGCTTTGCCTGCTTCTTCCGGACTTTCCTTCTCTGCATCGAGATATCATCGAAAGAGGTGGTTCGTGCGCAGCCCTGTAGGCCGTAGGATTCGCGTCGGTCACGAGTGTTCGGGCAACGCCTCCGAATGATCATACTTCTAAGCAGAAGAGCGGGTTAACCGTACTGTCGGAGGTCAGAGGTTAGGTTTTGGGGTTGGAGGTCATAGTGAAGACCCAGAGAGCTGGAACATGTAGTCGGATGATTCGCGCTGGGGGTCCCCCATACTTTGCCTCAAGGGGGTAAGGGCCACCAGCAATTCTGAAATGCATGCGCGCCTGGTGGGATCCTGCTGGCCGGCCCCAAAGCCGTGTGTGGTCCTCAACTTGATGTGATGTGTCTTCTGTGTACTGCGTAAGCTTGCGACACGACGATATAAAGTTTAGGGTATAAGGGTTAGGGTTCACCCGGGTCTACAGTCAAGTAAGTGTGTTTTCGGATTCTGGCTCCCGCAACTCGGGCTCAAAGACTTGCTCTCCGTTCAGAACCCCTGTTTCCATCTAGAGGCCCTTAAGCACATCGAGGAAAGTCCGGTGAGTGGGAAGATCTCGGCCGCTGCTTCCCTGTTTGGCAGGGCAACGTGTGCCGCAATTAAGCATGCACTGCGCTGAAGGTCGCATGCTTCCCTTAAGTACCCAGGAGTCTTGTTCCGCACTACGGTTCTCCTGAGCTGACAGTGAACAAAGATCCTACCTTCAATCCGTAGTCCGAGGCTGCTGTTTTTAAGAGCTGTGGTCCGAGACCCTAAGACGTGAAAGCGTGAAGTTCAGCCGGTTTGCAGAGTCTGACATCGGAACTTCGGAGCTCGAGGACTTCCTACAATAACAAAACACCTCGAACAACCGTCATATCTTCTTCTAATGCAGGGCTTTTAAAGAACACAGTGGTCACTCTCGGTTTCGCATCAGTTGAACATGTCTTTGCACAGCGAACTGCACAGTTACGCATCTGGTCACTCTTTTTGCGGGACTGCTCTAAGCCTCCAGGTATGGAAATGATACATGCTTTGGGGTCTAGAGTCTACAAACAATACCTACTTTTGACGGCGATTTGGGTTCTTTGAGACAAGACAGTGCTAGACTCCAGACCTAAAGCCCAAGTAACCCTAATATAGGGGCCTTAAAAATTAGAATAGGGTTTTGGCGCCCAATATACTATAATTACAATGAGGAACCCCGCAAAATAGTATTGGTAATTTTTTAGGCCCCTACAGTAGACCTACAGTAAGCAGTACTATAGAAACCTCCAGTTGGGAAGATGAGGTTTGGCTTTCCCAAACCCAAACCCCAAACCCCCAAGCCCCACCTGGACCCTAAGAAACCTACATGTGCGGGGTTTCCTTCTCATGACTTCCTGATCTGATATAATCCAACAAAAAAACTAACCCTGAACCCTAAGCGGACTTGAGCACTTATGTCCCAGGACGTTTGGAGCTTTAGGGCTTCTCCAAGTTCCGCTTCATTCCTACAGCCAACTTTCAATCCTAAACCCTAAACCCTAAACCCCTAACCCCTGAACCCCCTGAACCCTAAACNNCTAAACCCCTTAACCCTAAACCTCAATCCAACCCCCGAAGGCCCGAAAGACTCTTAGAGACAAGATGGGTTTAGGGTTTGGGGGTCGTAGCTCTCTCTGGATAACACTTGTTGGGCTGATGTTCTTAGATTTTCAACATCACCCGTAAAGTAGCCTCACCTCTAAATCGCACGCTGTAAAAATGTGCCATGGGAAGACATGCTTCCTGGAATATGGAGTCCCGGTGATAGCTCTGAAGGCAGCAGCAGTGAATTGCAAAGATCGGATCGTGACCGAACGATGGTACAGGGACCGTAATCTTCAGAATGGACTTGTTTCCTGGGGTATATAGCGCCGTACATATCTGTACGGAGGTGCGCAGATGGCTAGAAAGATGGACACATGGACCTATTAATATAGAGAGATCAATTGATAATCACCCTGCGTAACCATAAAAGAGTTAAGAGTTAATGCCATGCATCGGCATAGTCGGACACACACGATAAGTAAATAGGAGAGTAAAACAGCAAACACGGACATGTAAACACATACATGTACAAGGAGCATGTGGGCAAGAGAGCAAGTAAGCCAGTCAGTCAGCCAGTCACAGAGTGAGTGATATTCTGCATGTATCTATGCATGCATGCTTACTTGTTTGCAGGCTTGCATGTGCGAGAGAATGATTCTCTGTCAATAGTATGTCCATACCGACATAGATAGCCCTAAGAGCCTTATGCCTGAATCCTGAAAACTCATAGAATAAGTCCGAACCCTGGCTTCTGCCAAACCTGATCCCATCAAAGCCGCTGAATTCTGCACCCCGACAGCCTCCAGCCTCGACTCTAAGAAGCCGTACCCCGCAATTTGTTCAACCCTATTCTAGAGGCCATTGTACTTGGAATGGGGTTTGGGGGGTATACCATATACTATAATAAGGACCCCCCCCCNNATTGGTAATTATTTAGGCTTCTATAGGAACCCACTTCGGATTGATTTTACGTGGCACTTGGCTAGGTTTGTCGGCTGGTTGACTCGGGGAGTTGGGACGCTGGGAGGTCAGAGAGACCTTGGAACCCCCGAACCTTAAGATCCTAAACCACTAAACCCTAAACCCTGGGCCCTAAACCTCACATAAGATCCTATACTCGTAAACCCCTTAATCCAAAGCCCTAAACCTAGATCCTAAACTCGTAAACCCGAGCCCACACTTCCTGAACTGCTAACGAGATGAAGCTCCCGGAGTTGAGCATGTAACAGATCTCAGGTCGGGCTCGGGGAGTAAGGATCCGGCTTGGGGTTTAGGGTTTAGGGCTCGGCGGTTCGGCTGTAGGAACCCTAAACCTCAAACCCCTAAACCCTAAACCCCTAAACCCTCAAACGCCTAAACCCTAAACCCCTGTAAACCCTAAGCCCTTTGTGTTGGGAGTTGCGGAGACACTTCTCGCTGCCTTCACAGCTGTTGCTCCGAGCTCCATTTCCCGGTAGCTTAGGCTCGTGCGCCTCCGGGACGTGCATACAGCGTGAACGAATTCAGGGATGCAGGAAGATGTTCTACACTCGAGATCCTTGGCGTGGCTGGCGATAGATGTGCTTGGTCTGAAGCACATGGCCTGCAGAGTAGATCATAGTAGCAGCCCTCTTCCTAAGGGAATTGGCAGGACTCATAAAGCCGAAATCCCATCGTCAACCACAAGGTCTCGAGTCCGGGCCACGCCCAAGTGGAGGAGTTCTCACAGAAGCGGTGACCGCGCGGCTGGGATCATGTTCTGGGAGAGGATGCCAGGCAGAGCCTCCAGAAAGGGGCATAATTAGGCTATACTATACTACCTCATCTTATCTTATTATTCATATGATTCGGGCTTATTCAAAGGACATTGGCGAGCAGCGGCATCCGAGCATAGATGAGCTTTCAAGGGCTTCCTTAGAAGACCATGTTGAACCATGATCTGAAGACTGAGTGGACAGACCGCAAACCTAAAACTCCAAAACCACAGCCCTCAACTCTGCACTCCAGCATCCGAGGGGCTCAAACGGATTGAAAGAGACATGACAGAGTCGTGGATTGCGGACGAAAGCCATGCTCGAGCACACTCAAAGGAAGAGCCCCAGTCCAAAACCTGGAATGCTTGCTAATCCGAACCTGCAAGGAACAGCACATCCCCAGGCTGTTCTGGAAATTACTTGTCTGCCTAGCCTTACACCACAAGCCCTCTTGTGTGAGGGTTTTACATTCAGATTACATACATACAAACATACGTTATTTTATGTGTACACACACATGACAGGGCTTCGAATTACTTGGCAGCTTCTGCAGCTTAGGGATATATTCCGGAAGCCAAGCCCCAAAGCCCGAAAGCCTCTCAAACTCTGGACCCTACGCAATTCCGAACGGCCGAGCCCCCGAACCTTCGTCGCCGCTCTTCGGTCTAAGACCACAACCTGCTGATGCTGAAACAAGCGACGATCATGCGGACATACAGGCTGAACTAATTGTATTGTAAGTAGTCATCGTATTACTGTATGGTCCCTGTTGTGATTACAGTATAATATCCAGCCAAAACATTAAATGCGTCATTCAGGATCTGCAAAGTAACGGGATCTTTGGGGATTGAAGCTTCGCTTCTTTAAATGGGGGGCTGTTGAAGTAACTTCGGTTTATTCTTAAAGAGGTTTAGGGTTGTCGGGCTTGGAGACACTAACGCCTCAACCTGGAAGAAGCTTGGGCGATGGGACAGATGGAGTTGATCTCTTGAGTGCTAGAACCAGCTAGCCCGAAGTGCTGTGTCCGAAATCAAACTACTGCGCCCTGAACCCAAAACCTAAGCCCAAAACCCAAAACCCCAAATCCCAATGACTTCCCGTCTGTCAGCCTTTAAAAAGCCCGCCGAGTTGCAGGTAAGACTCTGAGTCCTCTCCCCTCCTACTTCCTGCCATCTCTCCCCCACCTCCTTGCTTCGGAATCCGAACTTGTGGTACTTCTCCTGTCGTCTGATACCAAATTTTCAAACCGTGCAGGGTTTGCTCGTCTTCGAGGATTTAATGGAGCTTTCTTTACCCGGCTTGAAGAGACCGGGCACCTGAGAAAAGCAAAGGCTCACGGCCAACCCTTAAATTCCGACCAAATTCTCCAATCCCAGCCCCTAAACCTAAACATATAAACCCTTGAAGAGTCAACTCCTTTTACATATCATTCTTCAGAGGCCCTATCTGAGCACAGACGGACGTGGATCCCTAGTCGGAGAAGACGAGCGGAACTGGACGACTAGAAGTGCTGAACAGATAAGTGACGATGGGTCAGTTCGTAACCGAGAAGAAAACAGCAACTCATGCTCTTGAAGCATGGCTAAACAGATGGTCCCGAATAAGACTCCCTTTGCTGAGCTTCTGACCGTTGCAGGAAGACACTTCCAGATGCTGGGCTTACCAATAAGAAGCTGCAGCCAGGTGTAGGGCGTTTACGGGTTCGGGTGCCTGCAGGCTCGGACTTTCTACAGTATTCCGTAGAGCATGGGGCATCATGTGCGGACATTGATTCGCCTCTCGATTATTTAATTAGCACAAAGCCGGGCAATCCCAAACCATGACCGTCCTAAAGCCAAAGTCCTGGCTCTTGACTCTAAATATAATATAGGGGCCTCGATAATTAGAATGTGGATTTTGGAACCCATTATACTATAATTATGATAAGGAGCCCCCCAAAATAATATGGGCAATTATTTAGGCCTCTATATTATGCAAGTCCCCACTCCCCAAAATCTGGTCCTGACTGCTGCTCTCCTGCAACTGCGCGAGATGGCTGAGGTTCCGGACCTGCATCAAGAACACACGAACATAATTCCCGGTTGGGACAGCTTGGGTTGAGAATTGAACTTGCCATGTCTTTGTGAAGCTTATGAGGGTGTTAGGGTTGGGCGGTCGCTAAACATGTGCCCATTTCGCGAGTGCTGCTCGGAGGCTTCGCGCAAAGCCGAAACCTACACTCCGTAAGCAGAGCGACCATGCCTGAGACCCCTAAATCTTAAACGCCCAGCCGTCCGACACTAGCAACTTCGTAAAGTGTGGCGTAGATTCACCGTCGGATTTACGGTCCTCCGTTCTCCAACTCTTCATCTCCTCATTGGTCTATGTAGTCTAAAAATGAATGTAGATCTCTCGCTCTCTATATATGTATATACACATATGATATATGATTGCAGGTCCGTGTAGGTGTACAGGCACCCCACATACACAGGCGCACACCGATAATTCACAAACCACCCCGAGCTCGAACAAATAAGTCTATGCGCAAGCATGCGGCATAAAAGCAAGCCAGATCTCCAAACCAGTCGTCGTCGTACCATGATTCATTAGTACAAGACAAAACAAAAAAATCGAACAACTCCGGGATCCCAACTCTTCTATACGGAGCATGGCAGTTAGCACGGGCCCAGGACGGCATGCCTTCGAGACAGGAAGTCTGCTGGGCACGGACTTCGGACGTTGCAGCAAGGGTCCGAGGCCGAGAGAGCTGCTACGACGAGACATGTCCTCATGGATTGGCAAGATTCACTGGGATGTTCACTCCGTGCTTTCGCTCTGATGAAGAAGCAGATGGGAGAGCCTCTCCTGTCGGGAGCTGCATCCATTTCTCATATCGTCGGAAACCCAGCCACCTTTTGCAGTGATGCTTCGAACAGCTGCACGAGGCTGCTCAGATGCAATCCCTCTGCTTTTGCTTCCTGGATCACTCGCCAGGCCTCTGCCCTCCGACTCACTGAAGCATCCCGAACCACTGCAATTGTATCCTCCGCACGTATCATAGTATTCATCTTCAGCTGCCGGGCACCGAAAATGGCACACACGAGCTCTTCGAAGAAAGCCGAGTCTGGCAGTACGTCATGATCCTTCAAGCGCCTCGCTGCTTCACAGATGCGAGCAACGGGCTTTCCACTATGCGCACCGACCAAGAGAGCGAATGAAATTATGTTCGGCTTGACGCCTGCTTTAATCATGTTATCGAATAAGAAGCTCGCAGCCCCGGCTTCACCAGCTACTGCGCATGCATCAATTCCTTGGTTCCAATCAATCACATTTAGCGGCTTTCCCCTCTTCTGCATCAGATCCAGCAAAGTTGCTGCGAATGTTACATTACCTACCTTCGAGGAAGCATATAGTGCAGCACACATGAGGGAGAGTGCTTGCTCATCACTCTCCCATAGTGCGTCCTGCTGTGCTTCCGTCCACAAGGCCATGATGCGATCGCGCGAACCAAGCTCACCAGACAGTCTGATGGCACAGCAGTAGCTTTTCAATGTCTTGCGAACACCCGAGGCACACAGCTCGTCGAATATAGCAATGCCTTTCTTGAACTGTCCACATTTCAGAGCGGCCGCCATTGCGAAATTGAATTGTGGAGCTATCGTTTGACTGCAGGCCCCAAACGCACGTAGGACCGTGAACCAATCCCTGTTGTTTCCACCAGTCACCATGCTGTTGATTAGATCTCGGTCTTTGCTGGAAAGTCCCTCCACCGACTCGGATTCGTCCGCCGCTCCGAGTTCGAGTTTGACATACAAGTCTCGATCCTCCCGGCCCGGTTGGAACTTTGACTTTATGGAAGCGGGCTTCGCGAAGTTCGGTGTTCGGAGAAGCTGCGAAAGAAGTGCAAGGGACAGCATACACCCAACACGATGTCGCATCGCCATGGCGTCTGGAACCTGTTGCTTTTGCGGGGAGTACGTGTAGCCGGTGACGCTCCGAAGGCGATGAGTTGCCTCAGAATCTTCTTGTGCGAAGGCCAGGAGGGCTAGCATGCCCAGAGAACGGTGCATGACAGAGAAGTAGGTAAGTAGGTGTATGTACCGCAAACAGCGAAAGTCTCAGAAGTTGGAACGCCCGCATGTGCAGGATCAGAAGATTACAACGCTGTTCACCCTGAACCCCAAAGTGAACCCGAAGGGCTCCTTCCGCCCGTGATGGGAACCCAAAGGCTCAGGAAGCACGCAATGCCAAGATATATCCCGGATAGTGAAAGACCATGTGATGCGCAACTGGAAGACCACATCCTCAGAATATTCCGAGACTACAACTATGATGATACTCGACTCGGAGACCATTCCAGGACCGCTCCCGAAGCCCCAATCCAAATGCGAATTATTGCGAATTGAGAGTTCAAAATATGCGAGATCTCTACATAGTGTGACAAGAACATGCGATGTCCAAAAGCGAGGACCAGAATACGAGGCCGCTCTGCGCGAATACGATTTGCCCCGAATTCACTGACGAGAGGAGCTTTGAGTTTGAAAGCTACAGGAGCGATGCTCTAAAGGTAAGAGGCCTAGTGTGCTACCACCATACTTCTCGGGACATCTGGAACAGCTCTCCCACCTTCTCACCATTGAAGGTCTCCAGAACCTGCCGGATTGCCCGAACTGTAGCAGTAGTAGTAATAGTAGTAGTAGTAGTAGTAGTAGTAGTAGTAGTTGTAGTAGTCGTAGTAGTCATCCTTGTTCGTCTCGTGCGAACTGTGTCTGTGACCATGCGGATCATGAGCTGCGCTCGTCTTGGTTGGCATTCTTCTTTCTCACACAAGAGTGGTTGAGACAAGGTTTACTCAGAGGTAAACCTTTGTTGTGAGGAAAACCTGTTCTATCCTGTCATTGTCGTAAACCCGGATGTAGCCAGCTATTCCATACTTGATTCATGTGCAGCGGCAATCACTGGCACTACCGTTACTAAGACTGTCAATGCACTAACATCGATATTGCCGATGGCCAAAATTGTGCATTGCCGGAAGTCGCCTGAACAGCGAACCATGAAACGAGATGCTCCTGTTTAATCACATGCAGGCTGTTGTCCATCAGCAGCGTGACTGCGCACCACCTCCGAGAAGCCAGTGCTATCACCGGATCCCAAACCTGAAAACTCCAAACTCGCAAGGTCCCACCAGCTGCATATAAAGAGCGATGCACAACAGAGTAACTTTCGCAAGGGGACTCGACATCTGGATCTTTAGGCGTGCACGACCTGAAGAGCAAAGAACAAAGCCTCAAGCATGAACCTGAGACCTGAACCAGTAGCCCCGCACCTCAACTCAAACGCTTCGACCCAAACCGGAAGGAGTTCCGCTGCCTCATTTTCCAAGTCGGAGTATCCCACCTTAACTGCTTGGAGGATGGTGCAGCCATGACTTACTTCGGCCCAGATGGGCTGCGCACGGCTGCATGTGACAGGTTCGCGAAATGTGGAGAGTTGAAACGTGCGAGGTTTGGTCTCTGTTTTTTGGGGTGGAAGGGGACCATGAAACAGGGCTCGAAGTGCATAGGATTGGCATGGGAGTGAGGAGAAGAAAATGTGGCTGGCGCGCCCTTCTGGATCTTCCTGGCTTCGAGGCTTTACAGAGAAAGTTCTCGGTGCACGCGGCTTGAAAGGCCAGCTTCGTGTCCGCGGTTGCCATGAATGAAATAAGACGCAAATCCAGGATTTCATGAGGAAAGAGGTTCCTAAACACCCACCCTACACCCTCAACACCCACACCCCAAATACCGACGAAACATGTGAAGCAAGCCTTTGCACCATGCGAAGAACGCGCCCAGTGAGACGAGTAGCCGTCACCTCGCTGGCCAAGACCTGCTGCTAAGAGGCTGAAGTAGGAGTTTATGGTTCAGGGCTGTTAAAGTTAAAGTCTTAAGGCATGAGGTTTGTGGGTTAACAGGTCATCTACTACCCTCCTCGAAGTCAAGATATACGCCAATATGGAATTTCAGGTTAGTCTGGGCGAGGAGGTCTACGATTCAAAGCGCTCAGGCTTCAAGACTGTATGGCCAACACGTGTAGGAGTTCGCCGTAAAAAAAGAGTGATTTGCCTTTCTGGGGATGCCGGTCGTCCCCTAATTTTGAACCCACCGACCCCAAACTTTGACCCTAAACCTTAAACCCAAAACCTACTTTAAGCTCTAGCCAGGGGAAGTCACCTTGCAAATCTCATGTTCTTCGGCACACGGTACCCCTTGACACAGGCCCCTCCACACAAATAGCACCCAACAAAAATCCTAGGTCGGAAGACCAAACTCCATTCCGGGGATATCATGGGTCTTTTGGAAACTTTCAACTGGAAACTGTCTCTGTGAACTCCCAACCCCAAAAAGAAACCTATCACCCGCCCCGAAACACAGGATAATCATCATATAATAATCGCAATGATGATAACGTTATGTAATGATAATAATGCTGCTGATGATGAAGATGACTACTGATAATCATCATAATCATTGTCATGATGATGCTGGTGATGATATCAATAGTAAATAACGGCGATAATAGTTCTGAAACTACTAACAATAACAACCCCATTGCTTCCAAGGAGGTTATACTTAGGGCCCTAGACCCCTTAAGGACCCAATACTAAAGTCCCCAGAATCATAGGGAACAACAATATTGAAGCCCGTTTATGCAAGGAGCCTGGGTAAGGACCACGGGCTCCTGATCCGACTCCCTTGGTGCGGTCTGCTTAGGGCTTTCCTTTTTAGTTCCAGGGTTTCGAACATGTTGGTTTTAGGTTTTAGCATTTTAGGATTTAGGACTTCGGAAACTTAGCTATTCTTGGTTTTCCTTTAGGGCCTTCTTATCGCGCAGGATAGTTTTAGGTGTGTCTTCAGGGTTTTTCTACGGTTCCTGATTCTCTGTGTAAGCATTCTTCAGGCCACGTAGGGCTTGGGGACTGCGGGGCTTTGACATCCCATACTATTTAGGGTACTAAGCTCTCCGAGATCATGTGGTTTCGTTGATGTTGATAGCTTGTTTGCTTTGTTTTGGGGCTTTGGGGTTTGGGAACCAGGCCTGCTTGACCTGCTATATCAAGTTTGTGCCGACTCAACAACCGTTCTGAAGCCCACGTTAAACCTGTGACGGATTGGTTTGCGGGTTTGGCCTGGGAACTTGCAACGTAAGACTGGCCAACATAAACGTCCCAAGTCCTAAACGCCTATAGTCACCAAACCCAAAACCTAAAGCCTAAACCAAACCCCAAAACTGCACGACGCTCCAAGAAAGCCTTCCGCCTTGAAAGGAAGAGGCTCTGGCTCCCGAGTGCCATTCTCCAGGAGATAGACCAGCCTGGGCCCAGCCGGCAATGTGCTGGACGATAGATTTTGCAAGTTTACGGTTACCTACTTGTGGTGTTTGAAGTTTGGTTTTGGGGGAGCCCTAAACCCTAAACCCCCAAACCCTAAACCCTAAACCGAGTGCAGAGGTCTTTCATTTCAGGGAAGCTATAGAAGGTTTCTCAAGGCTGTGGTGTTGGGGTGAGGAATGCACTTTGACAAACGGCTTTGGAGTACAGGGTGCTGTAGGTCGGCACGGGCGGCGAAGGACTTCAGGGTGCTGATTATCGAAGCTTCCACGTTTTGGCTGTTGGGGGCTGCGGGCTGGGAGTTTGGAGCTTTGTTTTCCTGGGTGCTTCGGGCTTAGGCCCTTAGTGCCTCTGCAGATCGCCCCGAAACCCTACACCCCAAGCCCCAAACCCAGAAATCCTGAACAAAGCCCGGATTTCAGTCTAAACAAGAAGCAGCTTGAAGCTTTAGCTGCTTTAGGGCTTAGGGTTTAATTCAAGCCTTCATGAGTTTCGAAACCCTGAATTTAAAACCCAGAAGAGCTCCAGGACGTCAAGTTTCTGCCTCGGCCAAAGGCTAAAATACCGCAAATGCATATAAAGTAGGACATTTCAAGACGAAACATAGACAGCGCGAGGCACTTAAAAGAAGAAGATTAAGGTAGCTGCCTGTGAGAACCATAATCAGATATTGTGATGACGATGATGTTGGTAGTACGTGCTACTTCTAATGATCACGAAGATAAATTCCAAAATTGTGTCGTGGGGCTCTGCAGTCATCTCCGATGGCCGCTTGTCAGCGTAGTCCTCACGGGCCCGGCTGTAGGTGTAGAAATGTAAAAAGCACCAGGATCTGTGGAGATTGAGGCTTGGGAGGGAGGACAGGCTTCGTCCCGCATCCTGCTCTAAAGACTCTTCACGCAGGCTGCGGAATTCTTGAGCTCATTCTGGGTTGTGCATGAGCGCAAAGCCGAGGACTACGCACACGCGAATCCTCATGCCTGAACTAAATAAGGCCTGAGCGCCCAGGATTGAAACCCTGAATCCTCAACAAAACGATTTACACCCAAAACCTTGAAACCCAAACTCTAAAGGCAGATCGCAAAACCCACAACCCCAAACCCACCACCCCAACCCTTAAAATTGAAAGGACAACAAGAACCCCAACCCTTAAAATTGAAAGGACAACAAGGTGAAGTCCTCTCCGAAGGCAGCTTCCAGGAAAGGCTTCGTCAAAGGCACGAAGACGAGGCCTGAAATTTAGGGTCTGGGGTTTAGGGTTCAGGGGTTAGGGATTACATAGGATCCCAGCAGTTCAGACAAACATATGCCGGGGAGTTCGATGCAATGCAAGAACAACTCGTGTCAAGCCGTGTGCAGAGCAACCATTCACATATAGGCTCTGCAGCCATGAACCAAATAACCAGGAGCAACACGTTTAAGAACCTGGACTGCGCGGCCCATCTTCCGGTGTCTCATCCGCACAGAGGAACTAAAGTATTCAGCTGATAAAACACATATGCATGTCTCTATATATATATATATGCTCACAATGCATATGTATAAATAGATATTTGTATATATACATACACATAC